TTTGCACAGACATAACTAACAGTTTGGTTTACAAGTTCGGTTTGCACAGACATAACTAACAGTTTGGTTTACAAGCTATTTTGATTTTAATACCAGAAACAAAAACATTCTGATGAATTTTCCAAAGGCACTTCGACTTAATGACGGTGGACAGTGTCTTGTCTAGAGAAAGTAGATTACACACATAAATATATATATTTATTATTTAGTGAAATGCGACTCCGTTTGAATCTGATGTCAAATTAATAATTACTTCTTCACCTGGTTTTGAACAGTTGCTTTTATAGCTTTTTTTTTATCCTCTGTGTATGCATGGCCAAGATTTTCTGCCTGTTTTATAAATATCAATCTTATAAAATTCAGTTGACTAAGTTTCTGTGACTGAAGAAAATAATTTGTTCAAGTTTCTGTGACTGAAGAAGAGAATTTACCCGAGTTTATATAACTGAAGAAGAGAATTTATCCAAGTTAATATAACTGAAGAAGATAATTTATCCAAGTTTATATAACTGAAGAAGATAATTTATCCAAGTTCATATAACTGAAGAAGATAATTTATCTAAGTTTATATAACTGAAGAAGAGAATTTATCCAAGTTAATATAACTGAAGAAGAGAATTTATCTAAGATTATATAACTGAAGAAGAGAATTTACCCGAGTTTATATAACTGAAGAAGAGAATTTATCCAAGTTTATATAACTGAAGAAAGAATTTACCCGAGTTTATATAACTGAAGAAGAAAATTTATCCAAGTTTCTGTGACTGAAGAAGAGAATTTACCCGAGTTTATATAACTGAAGAAGAAAATTTATCCAAGTTTCTGTGACTGAAGAAGAAGAGAATTTATCCAAGTTTATATAACTGAAGAAGGGATTTGTTCCATTGTTTAATAAGCTAGATATTTAAATGAAGTATTTTGATGAACTTATTTAAAGACGATTTACATTTTTGGACTTTATCCTGGCTTACAGTTCCTGGTTAATGGCATCATTGTTACAGTATTTCTATTCAGTAATGATATCAACCAATGGGAACTCAGCATCAACGAAAACGAATGAACTTCATGGAAGGCATTAAAATTACTCAATATTTTACGTGCTAATATATAAAGAAATTCAGGATGAAGCGTCTCCGAAAATAATAAGTAATTTAAGTAGTTTGTTAACCCAATGAAATAATGGGAAAAGGTAAAAGACCACGAGAATGGATTAACTCATATTAATCATTACTAGATCACGTTTTGATCCATTTGGAAGTCAATGCTTTTGTTACAGATGTTTTAATCGTGTATTTTATTCACTACTTCCAGATTTATAGGAAGTCTAACTAACAATTCTACAGCTCTAGAACAAAAATGTTGCACTCATTTACAACTGAATAAAAGATCATTCATCTTGTGTTGCAAGTCAGGCAAACCTTGGTCTCTGGATGTTCGTTCGAAGCTTTTAATAACGAGACAATAGCAAGTTAATGTGATCCTGGACTGCTTGATGTTCCATCCCGATCTGTGTAATGGTAGTTACGACAGCTTTTCTACTACATACATATGTATAAGCAGCCTACACGAGCTGTTATCTCTCTCACTGCCTGATGTGTCCTTCTTTGGCTGGAAGCTTTTCTCGCCTGCTTTCCTTCTTCGTGATAATGGTCCCCAATTTCCGGTCTCTTCTTGCTTTGTTTGATGTGGATTGGATCCCACTGGAGTTACGTCTTTACTTTCAACCAAGAGCCCAGATTTTAATTGATCACGTGGTTCCCCTTCTTTCTCCTGACCCCCCTCCTCTCTCTGTATAGACTAAGAGCCGAGCAGAAATACATGAATTCCATCTCCACACGTGCTGTGGATAGCAGTACTCTCGCCTACTTCATCATCAGTATCTGCATGATGTGAATAGACCCTCTCTCTCGACATAATTAGCCTGGCACATCTTCCTGCTTCAGCGTGAAGTCTTGCCTTGTCGGCCTCATTAGTCTATTGAGATGAGCGCTACTGAGAAAGCGCTGCCAGGAATTTCATATTGAGTGATATATATGTATATATATATATATATATCTTTTATCTGAAATTAGCGATCCATCCCAGTGTTTCTTAGTTTTATGATTGATATATGTTTATGCGTTTACATGTGCTTAAACGTGAAAAATTATGCAGTGACTTGTTTGTTTGTTTATTTTTGTTGAATTTCGCGTAAATCTACTCGATGGCTATCTGCGCTAGCTGTTCCTAATTTAAAAATGATAGACTAGAGGGAAGGTAGCTAGTCATCACCACCCACCGTCATCTCTCGGGCTACTCATTACTAGCGAAAAGTGGAATTACATCATATTATAGGGCACCCTTCCTGCTCAAAGAACAAAGTTCGTCGGTAATGGGATTCGAACACACGAACCGCAGATTGAGAGTCGAGACCCCTAACCACCAGGCCATGCACGCCCCCGGTGTGGTGACAGAGAAAATATTAACGTGTATAAGAGTAAAGTACTTAATACTCTATCGTATCTTACTTGCTTTGGATTTCGCTAATATCTGTATTAATCTTAAGGTTAATTCCATTATTTATTTATTTTTTTTATTGCAACTATAACAACTTTCCATATCAAGCGTTTAAGCCCGAAGATATACAGTTGTTTTCGTAACAGGAAATGATGAAGAATCCACTCTTTGTTATTTTTAGCTGATACATTAAAATCAAAATTAAATGCCTTTCATCGTCTGTATTCTGTTGAATCATTTTTCTTTACGAAGTTGAACAAAACTTTGATCTTCTGTTGCTAATATAACTTTATTTTATATGATATTTGACAATACATTTGATCTACCTACATTCAAACTTGTCATTATTCATCTACAAAGTTAAATGCAGCTTTTGACCTTTCTCTATTTAACGGGTCCCAGTGAACCAGCGGTAAGTTTGCGGTCCGACGATGCAAAATCCGGGCTTCGAATCCCGCAATGGACAGAACGCAAATAATTCAGTTTATAGTTTTGCGCTAAAAACATCAATCTATTCATCATTAGATCCATCATTAGTGGCAGTACCAATCACACATATATATAGATAGGTTTACTGTGGTGAGTAAAAGACAATATAAACACCCTACATATATTAAATCTCCTTTCTCGACGAAGGTTAATATAAGTTTGATCTTCCATTTCCACTATTAAATTTTTATGATGTTTGACAAGCGTTCTATAATCCAACATTAGAACTCCATTTTTTCTAAAGAAGTTAAGCAAACATTTGATCTTTTATTCGTAATTTAACTTTCTTTTTTTTTATAGTGTTAGCGTTTGATTTTCCAATATCTAAAATTACACCTTCTTGCTTGAATAAAACTTTGGTCTCTCCATATCCAGTATTATCTTCGTGAAAATGACAGGTTGAGCTTCACGTGGCGTTACGTTCATTATCTAGAAAAAGACGAGAGATGTATTTATTTCTCTCATTCCAGAGTAACATTTACATACCTAATTACCGTACCGTTGTTTTTTATTGAATGTTTACCCCCACACAATTATGTCAGAATTAAATCGTGAGCAACAAAGAACTTGTAAACCAAACTGTTAGTTATGTCTGTGCAAACCAAAAATTAACCTACATTTCGGTTCTGACACTACGATTAAATTGTTATTGTTCTTATAGTGAAATCAGAATAGGACTAGTTTGCATCTCTGATCTTAACATTAGGACTACATTGTTATTATTCTTATACTGAAATCAAAATAGAATTAACCTGCACGACCGGTCCTGACACTAGGATTAAATTATTATTATTATTATACTGAAATCAGAATAGCATTAACATGCACGACCGGTCCTGACACTAGGATTAAATTATTATTATTATAATACTGAAATCAGAATAGCATTAACATGCACGGCCGGTCCTGACACTAGGATTAAATTATTATTATTATTATACTGAAATCAGAATAGCATTAACTTGCACGGCCGGTCCTGACACTAGGATTAAATTATTATTATTATTATA